AGAGAGAGAGAGAGAGAGAGACAGAGAATAAAAATGTAGATTAGCAGAAGTAAAATAGTTGGCAATCCTAAGAATGATTTAAGTGTGCTCAATTTAAAGACTTAGTGTAGACTGAAAATAAATTTTAAGAATCGATCACCCTCTAAGCACACATGACACCCTCACACACAACTTACCATGTCCAAGGACAGCTAATCCTAGTAAGAATAATAGCACAATTCACAAAAACAGCAGGTCAAGCCCCAACTTGAAACCAGATATGTTGGAGGGAAAGCTAAGTATTGCATGGTAAGACTCCAAAACAAACACACACACACACACACACACACACACACACACACACACACACAATCAATGGATCTTAAATTACATCCAAGTGAGGAATCCAAGTAGAGAATAAGGGTGGCCACTTATTCAGGGATGAGGTGACAGCAGATAGGCTAAGTAAGTTCATTGTCTTGGTCTTCACAGAAGAAATTAGGAAGATTCTCACTTAACATGACAGGCGGGTGGTAGGAGATCATATAGTGATAAATGAACGGTACGTTCCAGGTCTGGTTGATAATGCAGATGCTGATAAGTCACAGGAACCAGAACATTCGCCTTCCACTCTTTAAAGGAACTCAAGGGCGAAACTGGGTGCTGCTGGACAAAATGTTGAAAATATGACGGGTTCGTCATATCAACAAGTCACTGGGTGCCCAACCTGAGCCTCTTTCATAATGGTATTGGCCATCAAGTTAGCGTGGATTTGTTAAACAAATCCCAGCACAGCAGCACACATACTGTAGAGCGCATGCCTTAAAGGTTAAGTGGAACAAATTAAGAGCACACAGTCAGAAAAAAACAGTCTTTAACAGTAGTTAGAAAACTTAAAAAACTTCATTAGCTTCAAAGATGTGGGCTAAAAATATAAAGAGATTCCCCAAATTTTAGATCAATTCAGAGATGACATATCCAATATGGGAGCGAGGCCTTCAGGGGCAATAATAACTTGAGGCTGTAGGGTGAGGATCTTTGAAAGTGACATTGCTGAGGGGATAAGCACGTGCTCTGCCTTATTTCTTGGTTCCTCTGGGTTGGGTCTCTTTTGTAACTGCTATATACCAGCAGCTCCTCTCTCTTTTGTTGAGCTGTCTCACCCTCACTTTCAGTTTTGACTTTAAAAGGCCAGACTCGTAAAGACAGTCACTGTGCTTCTGCCTATGATATATCACCACTGTCTCAGTCTTATTCCTCTTTTTTCTTGTTTCAGTATGGACAGAGTATAGTGCATTCTGCTGAACCAAGAAACAGACACTGTACCTGCCCAGGGCAAGGGACAGGGTAAGCTCATACTCCACCTTTGGCTTCCAGAAACACTAAATGTTCTCAGGGGATCAAATGCTGCCACCGCCCCATCTCACCTCCTTCCATCCTAATAGGCCCACCTGTCCCCATGAAGTGCTAATGAATTCTCTGCCATAGGTCATGCGGGACACTGGAGAAGGATGTAATTTCCGTAAACAATCATCCATTTATAGATTTCCTTTTCCATCTGTCCCCCACATAAAAATAATTAAGGACTTCATGACCCCTGGAATGGCCCAAGGAGAGCATCATTATGGTGTTCATTATGACCTAAAGGAGACAAGGATCTGGGATTTGGAGGGTAAGTGCCCAGAGATGACACTATACAATGGGGAGCATGTGCTTAAGATTGTTCCTATCTTAAGTGAAAAAAATATACGATGGGAAGCCTAATTTCCAGGTCATGCACCTGGCAAATTCCAACACAAAGACCACCTGAAGGTCGTAAGTCCATATGCAGAGAGCTACCTCCAAACACGGAGGAGTTGGCCCCGGACAGAAATAACATGGTAAAATAACCCTGGGAGGGAAATGTGTTTTCAGTTAAACCAGGGCTAGCCAGGCCTCTCCCACTGGCTCTTCCTAAATAGCAACTTGGCATTGGTGGGGCTGGAAGGGATGTCCTTGGCTGCAGAGGTGAGGCTCTTCAGGGTCTTGAGGGAAATTGGACAGAAGTTCTTTCTCCCTGCTGGTAATAACACTGAAGAATCAGCGTCACATCCATTTTATTAATTTTCCTGACAGGCGGCTCTAGTTTCCATGCAGGCACCACAAAATCAAAACATACGCATGTCAAGTGCCCCATGTGAGGTAGGGCCCTGCCAAGGCCATGTTACATCAACATGAGGAAGCTGAGCCCAGGTCCTCAGACCGTGTGCCTGGTCTTGTGGGCAATTACTTTCTGGAAGAAACCACCAGAGCTTGGTTGAGCGAGCCAGAGGACCTCTCTTGGTGATAGTCCTTTATCCTGGGTCTGGAGTCCTTGTGTTGAATATAAGAGCCCTGGGAGACACCGGCCTGCATCTGGCTTTTGGGTGTGTCTCTAAGTCCAGCCCCAAGGGTCCCTGCCTCCTCCATTTTGTCTGCATTCGGTTTCATCCAGGCAGGGGAATAGCAGCCTGGATTAAAGAAGACATTTAGAGGCATGCAAAGTCCTTATTTGTGAGCTGGGTCTTAGCCAGGAGTTCAGTATAGTTGAGGTCTTTGGGCATACAGTGACTAAAAGAATTTTTCTAATCAAGGCATCTGCTGCTAAAGTGATTGAAGCAACTAAAAAACAATGTGCTCTTTTACGTAATGTTAACTATACATTGGTTAAATCATGTACATTAGCGGGGTACAGCAGGTAAGGACCTAGAAAAATATCCTGCTCAAAGTCACATAACTTGTGGAGGGCCAGAGTGAGCAGTAACGTGGAGGTGGTCCATCGCCCATCCCTCTCACGGCTTCTAGGGCCATTGTCTCCTCCACCACAGAATTTATTTGCTGATGGTGGATACAGCAACAATGGCTGCAAAAGGCTGGAAATCTCAGACTTTGATTTCAGAGCTTCTGGCCCCCTTTGCAGGCCCTCCTGGTGACTCATTAATTTCTATGTCCCCCACTACTCATTCAGGAAGGGAAATGCGAGTAAAGGAATATCAGGGAGGGGGATGGAAGCCCAGGCCCTGAGCTAATGGCCACCGATGCAAATCAGAAAGACCCAAGCTAGATAGGTTTGACCGCACTGGTTTCCACTTTGACTGTCTAGGCTGAGAACAATCCAAGGATGAGGATTGGTGCTATTATTGTCCCGCACAAGAGCCCTCTTAGTACCCCATTTCCCCAAAAATAAGACCTAACTGGAAAATAAGCCCTCTCATGATTTTAGGTGCCAAAATATGGCACCTTGGCATACTGAATATTTTAAGCTGAAGGAGTTTGTGGGAAAGGCACCCTTCTCCCTCATGTGAGGGGTGCATGCCCTCCATATCCTGGAGGAATCATGCTACAGCTTCTTCTCTGGCTAGGTCTTCTTTTCGGGGAAACACGGTAGGAGCCTGGACCCTGAACCCAGTGTCCTGGAAACATGCCTGCCATGGCCTGGAAGGACAGAGGTGGCTCTTTCTTTGTCTGAGCTGGTCCAGCAGGCAGGGGCCACTGCAGAGTGGCTGCCCAGTCCACTCTGCAGGGTGACCTGGCTGACAAGAGATGAGCATACCCAGACGGCCTGTCTCACGGTGGAAAGGGCGCCGCTGCCGAGGGCTCGGTTCATCCTCTCACTCTCCATTCAAATAACCGTGGCATGTCAGCCCTGCTGGCCTCCTTGATTGTGCAGAAATAAATAAATGAATTATGTTGTTGGGGTTTGGGCTTCAGCACAGACACATGGTCTGCATTTATCCACACAGTGAGAGGTCCACCAGCCACTTGATGTAAAAGAGCAAAATGATAATTCTTTTCTTTAGGCGCTCTGGTGCCATATGGAATGTATATAAATCATATTTTTGTTTTAACAGCGGAGGCTTTGTTGATAGATAAACATGTGGTTTATCTAAAAAAAAGAGAGGATTGTGCTTTGAACAATCATTTAATGGCCATGGATGTGCCAAATAAAAATAAAAACATAATTTTGAAAGAAGTTGGCCTCTTGCCCAAATCTGTAACAAGGAATTTCTCCTTAACCAAAGTGGTTAAAGCCCGTCGATCTGTTTTGAGTTTAAGCTGTGCTCTCTACTCAACCCCACGACAAATTGAATCCGGGGCTAATGTGCTCTAATAGGACAAGACGTTACCTTTATGAATGACCTCATGGAGAAGAGGTTGGCGAGCATGGTGGAGAGGCCCTGAGCCAGGCAGCTCTGGGCTATGAACCCCAGCTTCAGCTCTGCAAGGCAGATTGCATCATCACCCTCTTTCCAGTTCCAGCTTGGGATGTTTAGCAGATGGGCCTGTAGGAAGAAAAACAGGTATGAGACCTTACTTTGTTAAATGTTCAATTGTTTAAAATCTCCTCTGGGAATCGCAGCATTGCCCAATTGCTCAGGGTCATCCAGACTCGTCCTTTCTTTGCCTTGCCTGGGTCTGGTGTTCCGTGTTTGACCAAATTCTTCTCTTCATCAGGCTTCAGTCTCTCTGGAACATTGCTTCTGCACCTACCAAGCCCAAGTCCTCCCCTCCAGGTTGTCCTTTAGCCAAACTGAGTCCAGAGGGAAACGCCCCGTGTGACAGATACATCACCCATACTAGTAGGATGTCTGGCTTGGTTGTTCATGAATTGGCTCCTCAAATAGACTCTAAGACTATCAGATGTCTGTGCACTTCACATTTCTTTTTTTTATCTGCCTTCCCAACACTCCAGATTGGTGGCTCCCAAGCTTGAGCAGGCATCAGAATCACTTGGAGGGTTTGAACACACACATCGCTGGCCCCTTCCCCAGTTTCTGATTCAGTGAGTGTGGGGTGAGGCTGGGGAATCTGCATTTCGAATGAGTTGATGCTGAGTCGCTGAGCTGGGGACCACACTTTGAGAAGCACTACCCTACATCATCAGGCAACTCACAATGTAGACACCTTACAATCTCTTACAGGTGGACTGATCCTATTCAACATTTAGGTCAGATGCTGAAGTTAGGGCCCAGAGGCAAGCTCATCCAATTATTTTTAAGTGGCATGAAGCAGAGAGTCATAGATGATATCCTGGATAAAAAAATCAAGATTCGAAAAAGTTCTTCAGAGTTGGAAAAACGGGCAAAACCAACCAGAAAAGATTTAAAAGGCCTTAATGTCAAGTACGGCATTTAGGTTAAAAAAATCAATTATATAAATTCATAATGAGAAGACCTAACTTGGCAGCAGACATAATAGGAAACGGAAAAAAAACAAACTTAAGTGTGTAGGTAACTAAAACCCAAAGAGAGGCCAAACGTGTGACAAATTATAGAGGAAACCAATGCTTGCTTGTTAGAAATGGTCTCCAACTCAAGGAAAATGAGTGTTTCATTCTGTTGTGAACTGGTCAGGCTAATTCCAGAGTACCTGATCCAGTTGTAACAGTCAAATTTATTATAAGAAGGGAAGCTGATAATTTGAATGACTTCCAGAGAAAAACGGCAAGCTCAGAGAGGTATGGGTTCTGGTAAACATCTTTTGAGGAACAATTAAGAGAGTTAGCAGTGTTTTGCCTGAAGAAGGGCCACACCTTCACGAAGACAGGATGGTTACCTGTGTATATCTAGGTACTGCTGTGATGAAGAGAAGACAGATTAGGTTTGTCTGGCTTCGTTCCAGGGGCCAGAATTAGGACTGACTGGAGTACATTACAAGAAAGCATTTTTTTTTTGCTTGTTTATAAAGGAACTTTCTAAGTATGCAATTGGTGTAATAAATGGAGGAGGCTGCCTCTAACAATGCAAAGTTTGTCCCTAAAACTCAGGCAGTACTTCTCCAAGTCTTAGTAGAAAGATGTCTTGCTTTGCATGAGAGGTTGAGTGAGAATACTCTCTAGGTTCCTGCTAATGCCAAGACTCTATGGCCCTGAAATTACCCTCTCTCTCCAGGTATCAGCAAACATGAGGAGCCCCAAGGCTTCCCTTCACTCACAGGACAATAAACATAATTGTATAGAAGGAGATGAAAGACTATCGTGGAAACAAAGGGCGGGTCCAATGACTCCATGCCCTGCTTTCAGAAATAGCACTCCGGCGAAATTCCTTCTTGCAAAATCCAGCTCTGTGATAATCTCGTGAGTCGTAACCCAGCAGGGTTTACTCCCGGGAGAGATGACTGTATCCCTTCTGATGAGAGCAGTTAAAATAGTCCCGTGTGTGGGCCGCAGCAGATGGCAATTTCTGTCAAGCTGAGGATCACAGGCCTCCCCCACATCGTATACTCAACCCAGCCACTGGCCCTGCCCTTTTCCCCATTTCCCTCCCTGCTCTGCCCGGGCTTCAGAAGGCCTCTTTCTCCTCTTCTTCCCTGACATCATAGAGAACAATATATCAGTCGAAGTGAAGAAATACCCATTTGATTAACATCATCTGAGAAGAATGAGGAGATATTAAATCTAAGTAATGACCAATGAAATCATCAAGTGTGAAAGGAGATTTGGGTGGTCCAAACCCCAGACAGACACCATACAACCTTCATGGTACCTTCAAACAAACAAATAAACCTTCTTTTCAAGAGAGTCTGTCACATCCCCTTGTGCCATCCAGGGTATGAAGTCCAGGCATGTAGGCCTTGGGTCCCTCATGTCCCCATCTGGTTTCAGTTCCTTGGACATAGTTTATATGTCATTTCACAGGAAAGTCACTTGCTTCACTTCTCAGGCTTCCACAGCCTCCTTTTTTGGGCCCCATATCTTCTCCAATCGCGAGGCAGGAACTAAGGGATGTGCCCGAGACTGGGACCAGGGACCTCCGTGTGCATGAAACAGAGAGGAGATGAATCCAGGAACTCAAAGTTTGTTTCTGGCAACTCTGCCTTTTTGCATTTGAGGGAAATATGGGTCCAGTGGAAAATGTCGGCATTGCTGCCCAGGAATCTGGAGGCAAACCCTCTCTCATCTGGAGGGTCAGACCTGTTGAGAGGGTTCTAGCCTGCCAGGGCTTCCCTGTGTCTGCTCCTGGGCCACTCCTCATGCCAAGGAGAAGGAATGTGAAAATAGGCTGGAAAACCAGGAGACATGAATCCCAGCCCCAGTTCCATCTGTCTTCATAAATACAACTATAGGGAAGCCACAGTGAAGAACAAAGAGGGACACTTCAGAGAATTCACTTTAACACTGCTTCCCAAGTGTAAGCGTTTATAGTGAGAAGGCTCAAAGAACCTGCACCTCCATTGGACCATTAGGACCTGGCTTCCAGTTCAGAGACAAAGATAGTCTGCTGGGGGGGCGGGAAACAGTCCAGTCATCACTAAATCATCAGGAGTGACACTTTCCCAAGATGCCATAGGCCATTCTTTCATGGAAGAGATTCAAGCCATTTACATTCAAATCAGAAAAATGTCCTGCACCATCACCAGATTCTTTCCATGTTCAGAGATGGCTCGGCTGAGAGTGTTTCTCTCCATGAATTCTAGGGATATTAAACAGATCCACTTTGGAGAATATCGGTCCTTCTAGAAGGCCTACTCTAATAAACCACGGTTTGGTTCAATGGGCTGTGGTTCTATTTAAAGAGAAGGTGGCAGATGGCAGTTATGTCTCTTAACCACTGGCTGCCAAATAACCATGAGCTGTCCCCACCAGAGCTGCTCTGTCTGAGACAGCACTTAGACCCCTGGTCTGAAGTCACACTGGGATGCTAAAATGCACAGATGGTTGAATGAGGACTAAATGAGATAATGGATGTCAAAGCTCTTTTAAAACCATAAAAAAAAATGACACAAATGTCTGAGATTATTATGATGACAAACTCAGGACCAGTTTTACATGGAGAGAAAGCAGATAGCTTCCCCACATCCCTCTAGGTCCTAGAATGGCACCATCATCAGGTCATAAGAGATGAAATTCTTTATGTTTTTGGTCTCGTATCCAATTATGGAATTAACTATCCCTGAGAATATGTTGACAATGACATATGTTTATACACACATACCAGGTTCTTTCCTGAAAGCAAGTTTTATGGGTGGAGATCTCTGGACATCTAGCCATGGATGAAGAGGAAATACCAAAAGAGGAAGAAAAATAATATTGTAAGAAAAGAGGGAGACAAACATATTAAAAGGGTGGGTAGGAGGGCCTTAGGAAATAGAGCAAAGTTGTGAAGCAAGATGAAGAAAGTCTGTTTGCAGTTCTACAAAGAATGAGATGACAAATGATGACCAGTGAACTTTCTGTTCTTTCCCTAGAAGAGAGAACTGAAATGATGGACAAAAAGTCACTCTGGCCCTTGAACCCTTATTAACCTTACAGGGGAAAAGTCTCATAAGTGATTTTTGCCTAACTCTAAAACCCAAATAGATTAGAGTGGTTCTAAACAAAATGTGTTTTAAGCAAATAATCATGGATGATCAGTTGCTATCTGCATCATTGTTTCTGAATGACTGTAATGTAGAGGTTTGTAAATGACATTCAGCTTGCGATGACCACATGAATACTGACCAGGTGCCATCTGGATCCTAGGTCCGCTGAGCTACTTTGAGTTTGACAAGAATCATAACTGAAATCCTCCTTAATTTCTTGAAGAAGCTCCATCAGCACTCATTGGAAGGAGAAAAAAGGAACTGACATCCCTTTCTAAACATACAACATTAATCTTCCTATTCAATCTAAAGTCAGCCAAAAAAATCTAAACAACAGCTTAAAGCACTCCCACACTAAATGCAATTTCAAATCACGAATGAAAGAAGGAAAGTTCGTTGCCTCAGGAGCTGTCACCAGCCACAGCCTCGCTAATAAAATTCACCTCCACCAACGGGGCTGCTGTCAAAAATCTTCTCCAGGCTGATGCTTGTGAGTTACCAATATCCTCACTTTATCTCGTCAGTGTTTTGGGGTTTTCCAGAGACGTACAGGACAACGTGACCTTGGGTGCCCATCACCAAACCCACTAGCTGGAGCACCACACTTTCTGCAGTGGAACCACCTGCTGAGGGTTGGACAATGGTTGGCAGTGGGCAGCAGACCCGAGTGGTAGGCCAGTCACCGCCAGCAGGCTCCACTCAACAACAGCCTCTGATGGGCCTCCACACAGCAAAATGGGGCAGCACTTGCCAGCAATTAAGAACTAATGGCATGGCACTGGCACATTTGGCAGAACGAGGTCTTCTCTGGGTCACCTGGCTGCCTATTTCGCAGGGACACATTCTCACTCATAACCCAGCAGGGAGTTATTCTGTTCAGACAGGACACCTGGTTCCAGGTATGAGCAGCCTCCATTTCTAAGCATCATTAAGGGGAAAACTGGTTCCATGTCAAACAGAGAAAGGTGCCACCTCCCCTCCCCCAAAGCTGTTTTCCTGGGAGTTTAATGACCGTCCGAGTGAAGGAGCATTGCCTCTGAATGAGAGGCTGGTCTCTGGGAAAAATATAGACTCCAATGTTTGCTTTCTTTCCAATCTCCCTTATAAACTATAAACGATGTTTAATCTCTACAAAGCCAACTGTTTTCCTGAATTCCACCACGCAATTCTCACCTTGAATTCGAGAATGCCATGCTCTCCATTCTCTACCCAATGTGTGTCCCATACCCCAAAGCTCACCTGGTCTCAGATAGAAAAGTCCTATCATCCTCTACACCTGACTGCTAAATCCTTGAGGGCACAAAGTAAGACTTCTCCTTCACCATATCCATGGGGCTTTGGAGGCCAGACAGTTGTTGACCACATAGTTGGTACTCAGTAAATACCAACTAAAGAAATAAGTACAACACATAAAAAATGGAAGTTGTCAGAATTGGATGTAAGAATGCATTAATATGTCTGAACCTAGGGGTCTAATAGATGGTTCCTGAATGAAAAAATCAATATGCAAAGGGGCTTCCTTCCAATGACCAATTGCAAACAAGATGTTTGACTGAAGAAACATCCCAAAGGATGCTTTTACCCACCACCCTCTTTTTCCAGGCCTTTAGATTGCATCGCTGTGTGTGCACATGTGTGTGCAGGCATGTGCATGTGTGTGGCTATACGGTGAGGGAGAAGAGACTGGACTCACATGTGCACCTTTGAGCCTGGGACAGGCTCTCACTGTCCTACCTTGTTGTGATACTGCAGCATCTGAGTGATAATCCTTATCTTCGGATGATAGTTCTTGATGGAGATTACTCTGAAAAAGAAAGAACCAATGCTGAGGCAGGGTTTGCCGTACCCTTGGAGTCTGATGGGGAGATTAATTTGATTACATCCAAATGGAGTGAATGTGCCAGAAGCCAGGGCCATCCTGAGGGGCTGCAGGCATTGGGCCAAGTTAAACTGCGTCTCCACCACCATGCCCCATGGCGGTGTGAAAAAAGAAAACCACAGAACAGCCACAGACTGTGTCCTGGGCATAAAAGAAGAAAGGGTCCTGTGTTGCCTTGGTGATGTTATGTGAGTTTGCATGTACTGGGGCTGGGGCCTCTGGGGCAGGGGGCAGGGCCTGTTGTCTATATGGGCATCTAAAGCAAGCTAGCTCAACTCATGGGACCAAGAAGGTTTGCAATCTCATATACCCTTGGGATGAGCCTAGAAACAATTGCCTCTAAGTCCAGTTCTCCAAGTTAACAACTTGAGACAACAATGGACCAATTAAACAAGCAGCCTGACAAATGATTCTAATTGTCACCTATGTGACTACTCACAAACATAATTTCTAAGCAGGGCTCTTAGGATGAGATCCATGACTTAGCCTTCCGACAGCTAACAGAATCTCAATGACAACTTTGACACTCGTTGGCGATAAGGGGCAAGGCCTTTTAGAGGTCACCATCTGAAAAAAAAAACCCCACAAATGCCCTCAGTCTATACTCAAGATTGGCCCCCAACCCTCACTTCTGCTCCCTGTGACACTCGCTGTGCTGAATAGGACAGGCAAGGAGCAGAGGAACAGAACACCTGGACTCCAGCTAGCTATTGCGCTAATGAACTGGGTGACCTTCAGGAAATCCCTGGTCTCTCCATGACTGTTTCCTCATCTGGACATTGGGGGCAACAGTACCTGCTTTATTTATTTCACAGGCTCGGTATAAGCAGCAAATGAAAGACCAGATGTGAAAATGCTTTGAAATCATTAAAAGCTCTCTCCACGTGTAAGTTATGGTTTTTGTCATTACCAACTCTGTCAGAGGTGACATTGTACATTTCCTTCTGTGACAAGGAAGGCTAAAGAATGGAATTCCACAGAAAGGCCCCCCTCCTAAGCCTAATCAGAAATGCAAGTGCATTTATTAAGACCACCCCCAATGAACATTCCACCAAGAAACGTTATGCTTCAGCCCTTTTTGTGCAAAGATGGAGAGAAGGCGGTCAGGGAGCAGCTTTGTCTGAAAAGCTACAACGTGTGAATTTAGGAAATGGATCCTGCCTAAGCCTCTCCTGCACAAATTCACCCTGGGCTTTTGCACTTGAAGGATTTCATTTTATTTTTGAAAAAGTGTTGTATTGGCCCATGCTTATAACTCAAGGACTTGGAGCCTCTGAATTCAGTTCACAGCATCAGCCAGTTTTCTGCATTAGCTCATTTCAAATGGATCTTTGACATTTTAATTTCAAACAGGGCAGATTGGTCTCATTAAACTAAGGAGGAAGGAGGATTATACAAATAAGGGAAGGACAGAGCCCATTTTTAACCCTAAGCCTCCCGTTTCCTGTTGTTGCCTGGGCCTTAGCTCTGATGCTGGCTAATGGATGGCTTAATTACACTTCGGATATTTACCTTGTTCCGTAATCTTTATGCCTCGGCATCACGCCAATCACCCTGGTAACCTATATGTCTTCATATTAACTGTATTGTAGGCTTAAATAAAATAATGGTGATTAAGAGAATATGTCCATTTCAAAGCTATTATCATTTCAATTATTCACTTTTGGAAAAATAAAAGGCTGTGCCAACCCCAAACTTCATTAAGCCTCATCTTATTTTGTTTTGGTTTTTTTGGTTTGAATTCTGAAGCTAATGAAGCCTACTTCCTTAAAGGCTACATTTTTATCACTTCAAATGACACAAAAGCGTGGTGGAGGATGGGAATCCTAGTTCAAGGAAAGGTCCAACTGACCTACCCCACCTTAAGCTGAGGCTGCTGTTGTCACTTTTCAGCTGTGACTAGTTAAGGGATGGACCCAGGTATGGCAGCATGTCCCCATTCCACCATCTTCCCACAGCTGGCAAGCCCAATGCTGACAAGAGTTCATGCATCAACTTCCTTAAAACGACTACACTAAACAGAGTGCCAAAGAAAAGAGAGTGGAAAGAGAACATCGGGCCAGATGTCGCTTGCCAGACACCAGGTCCAGATGCTGAGGGGAGGACTTGCTCATCCGAAACGCATGGAGGAATTCTTCCCCCACCTCACTGATGGGAAAGCTCATGTCGCTTGGGGCCACTGATTAAAAGCAAAGAAAGGAGATGTGAGCACTGTGATGATGCGAAGGCAACTTCCCAACCCTCCACCTCGGTAGATTCCCAGGACACAGGAAGCCAAGCTGCAGGGAGAGGGGGGATCTTTGTCTAGACCCAAAGGATGGCTGTTCACAATTAGGCAAGAATTCCTGGGAATACAGTGGGAGTGAAATGTTTTCTCTTAGTTCATCTCTTCTCCAGAAAGTTCTCTTTATTATTCCCTTCCTGCTCTCTTAACTATTCTACAATTTATGCCACAGGAGGGAAGATTCCAAAAGGGCTTTTACTATCTGGAGCAAAATATCTTTAGTCATTTTATAGTCACAAGATGTCTGGAATATGGGTCTATGAAAAGAACAAAAATGGAACCGTTTTCTTCTGAAAGAGTAGGTGGAGGAATTGGACGGAGAATGGACTTTGGCAGGCCCAGCCCATTTGCAGGAAAGGCACCAGGCAGTGTTCTCCAAAAAGCATCCCCCCAGGAGATGTTCTCCAAAAACAGTTAGTGGGGGGGGTGTCGACAAATTCTCTATAGATCATTATCTTAGAAATTCCTATTAGTATGAAAAGAATTGAGAAAGATTTCAGTTAAGGAAGCTATTTCACTTTGGGCAACCGGTTGAAACAAGCTATTTGGTGAACAAACTCCTGTTTGTGGGTGATATGAATCAATGTGCTGTAGACATATTTGGAAAGCTCTCACATGGGGCTTCTCAACCTGCATATTATTGACCTTTGGGGCCAGAGAATTCTCTGCTGTGGGGAGCTGACCTGTGCATTGTGGGATGTTGAGCAGCAGCCCTGGCCTCTGCCCCGTATCCCCTAATTATGACAACCAAGAACATCTCCAGATATTTCAAAATGTCGCCAGAGACAAAATCACCCCCAGTCCAGATATTTCAAGCCCTCTCCCCCTTAGGGAACATGGTACCTTATTTTAGGCCTGTGCCCATCTAAATTTATCTTTCCTTTTCTAGTCCTGTCTAAAGGATCTCAAAGTCAAGACTCCAGAGTTCCCATCTTCTAAGGACGAGCTTCCTGTTGACAATGCCTGTGTCGCTGCCCTCTACACCTACCACAGCCTCAGCGCCTTCGGTCCTATGCAGGTAGCAAGTGACGGGGTGGCTTATGGGGGAGATGGTGCTCTGGAGAGAACCCAAAGGGCAGCAAATGGGCCAAGAATCACCAAGCCCAGAGCCTTCCCCACCCTCCCCAAGGTTACCTCATGATGTTGGAGGCATCTTCAGCGTCAGGGTCAGCGCAGTACTTATTGGCAAGGATGAGGCACGCATCTGCTGACTCTATCTAAGACACCAAAAGGAAAATCACAGAACACAAACATATAAATAGCCATGCTTGGTGGCAGTCTCTCTCTGTTGACAGTTCTTGGAGAACCAGGTGGTTTGCAAGGAAAGGAAAAAAACGACTCCTGAGATATTATAGTTTTTGTCAAAAGTGTAGGTTGCAAGTTCTTGTTATGGTATAAACAGTTCATCTTGTTGCTGTCGAAGAGTACAACATGTACTTTGGTAATTATACTGTTCACTTTGCATAGTCTCTTACATGTGAGCTTTCCAGATTTCTTTAAATAACAATTAAGTGAGCCTTTCTGTCCCCTCCCCATCTTCAGCACCATCACCCTAATTTCCCCAGGTGGGAAATGGAGTTAGGTGGGCTAAACCCCTTCTCTCTGGTTACCAAGTTAACTGAGTAGTTGGGGATTCAGTCATTTAGACTCCAAAGTCCTTCATCTAACCTTTTTTACATCTTAACTGGGGAATAAAAGGAAATAAGAACCCTGAATCAGATAATAGCTCAGTACTGTTCAGTATTCAATTAGCATTCAGGTATTCAAAAGACAACAAATCTATGTGTATGAAATGATGTAGTACAGACGATCTCAAAATACAACCCACTGACTTATCTAAACACGAGCCAAAAAAGATTTATTCCTTTGAGGGGATCATGAGTTGTGCTAATAGCTGCTTACATCTAAATTAGGTCCATAAACAATAACTATTTTCTCCACGTTCTCATAAGATTTCACATTAGCCATAACTTGGATCATGTCTAGTCTAAGATTAACTGGACTCTATAGCATAAAAACGCTCATGCTGGCTCAGGCCTACAATCTGTCCCTCTGGTATGTTGTACTTAACAGACCATTCCTGCCACTGGTGGGAGGGCATGGTTTCCTCCATGGTATGTCACAAATCATCTCTGGTTTTCTTTAATAATCCAAGGAATTTACCCAAATCCTTTTGGCTTATTCATGTTTGCCAATTACATTACGTACTGAATTATGTGGTGACTACAGTTAGCATTTAGATGTCAGCGGATTCACAATTTAAATCTGTACTCACTGGCATGCAAAAGTATTGAGCAGACTTGCAAAATCGATATAAAATGAGTAAAGTAGCAGACGCCATTTTGCTGGGTCCCTTATTAGCCTCAAGTTCTAGAAAGAAAGCTTAACTGATTGCCAAGTGATATCAGATACCTGCATGTTTAGGTTTGCACCTTTGGTGAGGAAAAGCAAAAAGCTCAAAATGCTGTATGGCATGGTAAAATTTTGTTTTACAAAAGTTATCTTAATGTTCCTTTCTGATAGAAATAACAGGTTTCAGAGTTATGCCAAGTCCAATGTAAATATTTAAGATGGGAATAACTTGATGATTACATTATATATGAGACTATTGAGTCCATACAACTGGTCCGCTTCCTTTAGCAGTGCTGATATTCAGGGACTAGCAAAAGAAGTTTCATGTTATGACTAGTCCAAGTATGGAATGCTTACAGGTGACAGTCTACCAGGTGCCAGCAGAGCAAAGTCCTGGGACCAGTGGAAGGGTGATGCCAAGGCTGGTGGTATCTGACTTATCTTATTAGGGGACTGGAGGTGGCTTTTAGCCATCCTGGGAGGCATGCCTCTTCACCCCAGTGTCAGGCACCCCCCCTCTTAGATGGAGTAAAAGCAGAAGTTACTTCTTCCTTCTTACCTTGACTCTTGCAAGATCATGTGGATTGAGGACTGAACCCTGATAAAATTCCACCTGAGTAAAATGTCGTTTGAACAGAGCTTCAAGCTCCAGGTTGGGGGAGATGCTGTGCAGGAAGAGAAGACGCAGACATTAATATGACAGACTCAGGTATTTCAGCTTCCCTGCTCCCTTCTGTTGGATTTCCACAGAGGGGAGCCTGAGAAAAGGCTTTCCCTTTCAAAGCAGCTCCTTTTCTTGCCATCAATAAAAGGCCCGTGCTCAAGAGAAGTAAAACCCCAGCCCAAATGAAAGCCAAAACCAATACCATGGTAAGATAAAGAGGCTCACAACCTTCAGAGTCTGAGGCCTACGGGCTGAAATGTCTTCAGTATCATTGTGAGTAGAATCCCTATTTTATGAACAGAAAAACTGAGGCTGTGACATCAGGGATTAGCCAACGGTCCTCCTGGCACAGCCTCCGGCTGTTTCTCCATCAAAAGCCTTTTCCTGCTTCTCTACAACATGGACTTCTCATCCCCCAGGACCAGGATCAAAAAATGTCACCTCTGAGCTGCCATGCAAAGTTCATTTACTCTCGGTACTGTTCTTGATTCACACGTATGTATGTTATTCATCATTCTTAGTGCTGAGCTGTAAACACATCTTTCCCACTGGAGGGCAAGAATTAAAACATTAAAACATTGGCCTCTTCATTCATTTATTAATTCTGCCGAGGTGAAAAATACCTGCTCTCTACATGGTACTGTGCCAGGCACTGCAAGATATTTAATTAGAGCCTACTAGGTACCCAGGACTGTGTTAATCAACACGTGACTAACATTTATTAAGTACCTACCACTAATAATAATTGCTAATGTTTTGAGAGTTTACTATGTGGCAGACACCATTCTAAACACTTGAGAAGTAGTAACTCATTTAAACCTCAAAACAACCCGAGAGGAAGGTATGTTATTAACACAAAGCTTCGACAGGCTAATTAACGGTCATCCATCTACTATGATGCTGACACCGATAGATGCTGGAGACACACAGGTGAATCCTAGCAATGGAAGCATCAGTAGCCAACCTGTTGATTCAGACTCAAGCCATGGGTGAGAGAAGAGCAACTGCCTATGCAAATCTGACCAGTCTTCCAGGTCCATTGCCAATCATTCTTCTTTCATGAAGTCCACCTTAGTAAAACAAGCAGCCCTGGTGTCACCCTGATATAGATGCTCCACGTGACTTTGCCACTTGATTAAACTGATGTCAGTCAACTAATATAGGACTGATGTTGTGCTCTAATTGTCGATCATGTGCTCATCTTGAAATGTCCAACCAATTATGAGGGCAAAACCCACACACTACACTTCTCTTGAACCTTCTAAAATGCTCAGCAGAAGACCGGCCCCATAGCTGGTCATCTGCGGCTAAGCCCTGAATTGGTCTGTGGGTTCTGCTCCTGGGCCCATGGCCCGGCCTGTTGTTTCAGAACTTGGAGAAGTCAGTGCTGAAAATGCTGCTACTCAAACCTGGTGGCCCATTTGCTATTCTGTGAACAAAACCCAAAGGAAGGAGATGCAAGAATGGGAGCTTGTAGGGAAGTCAATGGCAGTGGGCTCTCAGAGCAGGATTGAATCTAGGGTGGTCAACTCATATAGAGCAAACACCAACATGGAAGCTTTGTCCCTCCAGCAACCTGGGGCTAGGGCTGGCCCCACGATGGCGCAACCGCCATACAAAAAAAATTATGGTGCAACCCATGTCAACATGCCTGAGCCCCCCAATTCTCCACCCCTGTGGCAGACTACGTTTTACCAAAAAGGGGATGAAGCAAAGCTTAAAATCTCAACAACACCGAGCAGAGGGGAGATACCTTGCTTTACCCGCCATAAAACAAACATGATAGAACCTACCTCCTAAATTGATAATGCCACCTACTATATTTTATCTTGCATGATATCAGCTAACATTTATTGAGCACTTACTGCATGCCCAATTCTGCTCTGCATACTTTACACGTATTACTTCTTTTCATTCACACAATAGCCCATGATGGCCTCCCCATCTAATGGACATGAAACTGAGGCTCAGAGAGGTTAAGTAACTTGTTAGTAAGCAACTGGTTGAGTCGGGATTCAGATCAAGTACTCTGAGTCCAGAGCATGTACTTTTACGCCTCTGGTGATGAAAGGAGGGACTGTATGCACAGTGACCAGCACAGTGGCCCACACTGAAGGTTTCTAGGAATCACAGTCATTGCTCCTGTTGTTATTATTACCTTATATCCTGCTTCCTGTTATTTGTGTATCTTGCTTGGTCACTATGTCGCCCCTGCACTCATACAGCATCCACACCACACACCTCATCATTCCACAGCAGACACTGTAAACATACCTGGATCATATAGATCCAGACAGCTAAGGGGACATAATGATGTGTTTGATCCATAAGGAACTCCACCGTTACTTGCCAGAATTGCCTCCACAGAGGCAAGCACTGCTCTCATCACTGAGGTCGGACAATTAAGTTTGTGAACTTTCCACCATGTAAGTGCACAGTAGAAAGTTTGAGAACTTACTTGTCTGATCTTTTCGTATGTTGCTTCCTTCTCCATTGGCCCATCTTGTCTACTCTGATGAGGCCAGCAGGGATCCTGGCAGATTCAACTCTGCCCTGCCCCCCAATGCTGCCCCCACACCACCACTCCTGCAGACACTCAGGTGTCCCCGTCAGAGTGTCTGATCGGGTGGAAGGTCTTGAAACAACAGGGGCCTCTTACTTGTGAAGAAAGACGATCTCCACGTTGACATCGTCCCGATCCTTGTGCAGGAAGTCCTTCAGGAAGTTGGAAACACTCTCCAGAGTGATGTGTCCACAGACCACAATGTGCCTGAATGGGAGAGGCCGGTTAGACGAGGCTGGCCCAGCGATGACCCAGGTACCCACCCCCAGCAAGACAGAGGAAGCGCGCAGCTGCAGGCAAGCATTCATTGACTCCCGAGGCCTCCATAAAAGCCCAGCTCCCATCCCCAGAGGGCTGTGAGGCGAAGCTGCGGTGCTGGCAGGTGCTCAGCAACTCCTGGACAGAAAAGGCATATGGCTTCTCACCTGATGCTGCACAAAATCCTATTAAAAGCCCAACCGTTTGGCCAAGTGGTTTTATGCATTTAACAATAAGTGACATTATGCTTGCGTTTAAATGCTGCATTATCAAGTCCCTTGCAGATTCATATCTCTCCCTTTCTGCCCACAAAGCGTCCTCCCGGGAGATTTACCGAATGAGTCTTGGTTTATGACATAGAGCTTATCAGGTAATGAGATAACAAATCTTGCTGAAACGATGATTTTGTGTGTAAGAAAGCGAACTTTTATCAGGGTGGCTAATGTGCGGCTTGACACGTTATGGGCTCTGCTGGCCATAAGCAGTAAAAAGGAAATTTTGCATTTTTCTGCCATAACTCCTCTGACAATGGGGGCATGTAACACTTTACAGTAAGTGAGCATTACTCAAGGCTAAATGGGGATGGGACGCCTATGGAATCGGAGATCATGCCGCAGATCTGTGCATCCTCAGACAGCTGCTTCCTTAAGGTGCTGGGGGTTTCTCTGAGAGCCAAAGGAATTGACCTCAAGATGGGAAAAGCTAGGAAGGGATGAGGCTGGCATTGTCTGCCTTGCTCCAGGGTGGTTTGGACTTCTATTTCTGAAGATGGTGGCCCCCCCTCAGGAGAGGCGCTCCTCTTCCAGAATTGCTGGAACAACAGTCCCTCCAACATCTTTGGGCTCCTGGATCAATCTGACTTTGACACCGGACTACACTGTTCCCGCTTACATTGGCAACATGATGTTCAATCAGGAGTAAGCACTTTAGTGCAAAGGTTAGCCCCAGGACCAAGAGTTGGGGCCTGACTGAGAAGAGAAAACCCACTGGCTTCTGGGAAAGAGGCTGCAGCAAGGGGCTCAGCCCAGGTCTCTGTGCCCCTCAGGCTAACAGTGACAGGGGCTGAGTCCCTGGCTGGGCTTTGAGGCATGGGCAGGCAGGTGGCGAACAGGAAGCACAGTCATTTTGTGGGAAAAATTTAAAATGGCCAGGTCCCTTGCACTTCATAATTGCTCTGTGCACATTCCAATAAAGGCAGAAAGCTCATTGGCTGGAGGAAGCTCATAATAGGCGGCAGCGATGATCGCTTATGCAATGTTCCATTAGATGCCATTACAAGAGTCTGCCCTTTCCTTGTAATTTGGTGCTTGACTAAGGATGTGAGAATAATGCAGTAAACTCATTGGTGAAAGGATAATGATGCAGAACAAAGAGTAAATCAATAATACGCACGATGCAGTTAATAATATCACCATTATGAACTGTTATTGTTACGGAGGTGCACTTAGCGATCAGGCAAGCAGAGGCCATCACGGGGAGGGAAGAATGTCAGTGGGCTACCTCAGAAGACACATTTCAACATGATCACTTTGCTCTCTAGCCGGTGCCTGCTAGGATGAGGGCGGTCCCTTGGCCACCCATCCAAATGTTATGCCCCAAACCCATGTGACTAATTCCTTCCTGAAATACACAGTATGTCAGAATACATGATATAAATGAAACACTTGGATGACAGACATTTTTATGATGCCATACCTTAAAATGTTTCTTGTGGCACACGTGTATCTATATGGACAAAACAGGCTGAAAATGAATTTGCATGTTCTGAATAAGATTTGTAATTTTGAATTTTCCAAGTGTATTCAGAAGGTGACTGCGAAACAGGGCCTCCCTCCTTGTCCAAACTCTCCACAAATGTCAGTGGGGCTGCTTGGGGCGAGTCTAACATTTTCCACCCACACACTCACATGATCAAGAACAGGGTCAGCATGAAGCCCATGTATGGGCGCCACCAAGGACTGACATGTGGTTTCAACTGGAGGTGAAAATAGCCAGATTTCATTCCCTACTCTGCCACCAGGATGTGTATGGTCCCAGGTAAGCTTCTTATCCCCATTCAACAGATGAGGGAGCTGAGAGGTTAAAACCCCCAGCCGGCCTCCTGCGCCAGACATTGCAAAGCTCAAAGTTCTATACCAGCATAAGCTTGGTTATTATTCAAAGCTGGACTCAAATCAATGAGAGGGCCGGGGAAATGCCTGCACATTCATCCTTCCTATCTTATACGCAAAGAGCTGAATGAACATCTGCCAGCATTCCCTCTTCCTCTTCTGAAATCATTCATCTCTGGGACAGATGTACGAGACGTGGAAGGGAAGGAGATGAGTTCACCCTCTCACCCTTGAATCAAAGGCTCAGCCAGCTGATTTATTCAGCCTGAGAAATAGTCAGGGTTCCCTTAGTTCAAAATGTGCTGGGTACATATAAAGTATATTCCAATGCAATCAATATTATCCCTTAAGCCTTTAATTAGCTTTCACTTCTCTTAAGAAGTAGACAAATGCTGGCAGGAGAGGGAAGGGAAAAAAAAAGGATTGACTTTTCTCATTTGGTGCTAGCTGTCCAATACCATTCTAGACAATTGAAAATATATATCTTTTAGCTGCAGCATGATTTCTCAGATGGAGAACAGTCTTTATCAAAAAGGGAGGGAAAAAAATCTCCCTTCAACATAATTGGTAATTTTGCTCAGAAAAAGCGAGATTGATTGAAAGCAGATTGCCTTTTTGCCCAAGGAGAGTTATTAGGTACATTATCATGGCAACCTTGGAGAACCCATATTGTTCCAATCTGTCCTATATCTGATTTGAAGATTTACGGCTTCCCCCTTTTGTGCCAATAATCATTTCCCTCCATTTTGCTTCCCATACAGTGAAAGTTATCAAGAAGCCCACATCCTGAAAACGTTTGAATGCAGTTAGAATTGATGGATGGGGAAAAGCCGCCTCTCGAGCTCAGCTTCTGCGTTCGAGGATCTGCTCCCACCAGCCTGTGTCTGAGGGAGCACCGAGAGCCCTGCAGGAGTTTAAGGGATGGATGGTGAAAGGGGAAAATTTATTTTCCGGAAATAGTTTCGGGACTTAAAAATCCCAGGGGCAATGGTTTGGGGAAGGATGTTATTGCAGGGAGAAGAGAGCAGAATTTCTTGTATCACAACGACTGAAAATATAATTGAAAACGTTCTAAGATTGAGAGCAGCGTGTGCTGTCCTTGGAAGCGGAGTGATCGTTGTTCACGGTTCATGATTTGAGGAATGCCAAAAAGATCCTCATGCAAAATGATCTCTGTCGGGTTCCATGACACCTACAAATCTACCATGTGAGATTGCTACTTTGATAGCCCTGGGTTAGCTCAGCTCAGACACTAAATAACTAAAGAGTCTTGGGCAAGGTCCCAACTCTGAATTTGACAACTATGAAGTCAGAGTCTCTGAGGGGCTGGAGCTAGTACCTGATGCAAGAGGTTATCTTGAGGATTTATTTAAGTAGATAACATATGGGAAGGGTCTGGCCCACTGTAAGCATTATTAAATGGTATAGCATTCTTGCGATATCTGTAAATCAGAATGTAACAGATATAATGTGCTCTGTGGCCCATATAATCTCACCTAATCCTCACACAACCCCGTGCTCCTATTATCTGCATCTCTTCAGATAACCTCTCTGAACCTCAATTTCCTTAAGTGACGTGCCTGAAAGGGACTTGCCCAAGATGTGACCCAGGTCTCTGACTCTAATTCTCCCTAAGAAGCAAGTGATGACGTGGAAAGGGCACAGACTTGAGTCTTTCAGCTTCTGCTCCCTGGTAACACGCAGGACTGGGCCAACAAGAGGTCCTCTTGAAACACGCAGTGGAGGGGTGTCTGGGGTCTTCAGTGGGCCAGGAGAGAGGCTCAGTGTGGGGACTGGGGTGGACAGAGATGAGCCGCACTTAAAGCACCCCAGCGATGTGGTATCACTAGATTCGGGCTGCACCTGATCGGCCAGGACACAAGTCACTAAGCGGCAAGGGCCCAGCAACAGTAGAAACTCTAAGCCAAGTTTTTAACTTAAACCATACACTGGCAAGCCAGGGGCTGCAAAGCGATGCAAATGTCCATTTTAGATATCATTCGCCAACATGTCCAGCTCAGGACTTCCTCAGCAGCCCAACAGAAATCTAGACGATCCAGTGATGATGGCAAATATTTATGAACATTATACTGTGAAGATAGCCAATGCTGCTCCCATCTGTGGCTCTGGATTTGAGTGTTTTTAGGCTACTGGCAATCGTAATAACTGATTTCTAACTGGCCTGGCCACCTGATTTGTGAAGGTGGCCAACAAACCTAAATCAACAACCATGTCTCATCTGATGGACTTTTTGGTTTTTAAAGGTTTTTTTTAGCTGTGAACAAATCTTTCTTGGGATAAACTACTGTTAGTGGTGGTGATTAAAAGATCCATCTCAGATGCAAGAGAAAGCATCTCAAGTGCCAAAATAGTAGCAGATGGCATTTCGTGGGAAGGAGTTACTCATCCAGTGTAAGCAAGCATGGCTGGTTTGGGGCGAGGGCCCCGTAAACACAGGCTGGATTGAATTAGGAGCGGGTAACACTGGTGGGTCATGCAGCAAGCATGGCATCAAGGGGCTGAGTGTGACTTAAACAGAATAATAATGCTTGACTATCATGAACTCTGTCAGGGCTCAGCACAAAACTGCCAACGGCCTACTCCATGGGTGCCTCTTTGCTAAGTATATATTGATGTACCTCTCCTATTCTTAACCATCTCCACCACCAGAATGAAATCCCACACACCCTCCTCAGTCATCCCCCCCCCGCCTCCCTCCCTCCCCTGCTTTTTATAGATAGGCCAGGAACGTCAGAATGCCCCAGTTGGGTTGGAACCTCAGTTTCAGAGCTCAATTCCATTGGTGCCTTTCAGAACGGACAACTTAGGGGAACTGAC